TTAAAGTATTTTAAGTATAAAATAAAGTATTAAATGTGTTTTATATGTGTGTTTTGTGTGTCTGTGCAGGGGCCTGGTTGAAGAGCAGTCTGGGATACATCCAGAGAGAGGGGAAGCAGTTAACTCTTACATATATTGCCCCTCAGCTTGGCTATTGGGTTGCAGCCATGTCTCCCATAAACACAGGTAACACTCATTCATTTCTGGACATTTTGTCTATTTTTCAATTTTGTTTAGATGACTCCGCAGTCTTTGACCCTTTTATATGGCCATTAATGGAGAGAGGAGCCCGATGGGCAGACATACAAGGGCTTTGTGGCAGACTGAGTTATTGACTTCTGTAGTTGTTTACACATTCGCTGTGCTATTCCTATTCACCAGCTGAGAGAATAATGTCAATATGTGGGTGGATTTCAGTTTGGCATGAAAATAACTTTTATATGAAATATCTCCTGTTGAAAAGTGTTATCGATTGATACTGTAGAGTGGAGGTCAGGAGGACAGTGGAAATGTGAATAGGATGGATGGATTCCTCTATGCTGAACACCAAGTATGTATGTTTTGTTGTAGGTCCAGTGGTGGCGAAGGACATTAGCACTTATCACACAGTCTTCCTGCTGGCCATACTAGGAGGCATGGCCCTGATACTGCTCTTCCTGCTCTGTCTGCTGCTCTACTATTGCAGGCGTGTCTTTTTTGTCCGAAGAAGCATAAAGTCTCTTAAAAACTATGTGCATTTACTGCTAAAATGTAACATATAGACAGGATGATGATGCATCATCTGATATAAGGGAAATAAATTGATATGTTAAGAGAAATAAATTGCATATAAATTCATATGTGGCATATATACTGTATATATATATATATATATATATATATATATATATATGTGTGTGTGTGGTCGAGGAAAATTTAAGTTTTTCCCTTGTGTTTATGAGAGCATGTTTCTGTGATTTCAGGAGGAAGTGTGCCCGCTTACGCCCTGCCCACAGGAAGTTCACTCTATCCTCCACATTAGATGCCTCTAAACGAGACCAGGCTACTTCCATGTCACACCTGAACCTCATCAGTGAGACTCACCTAGACCACAATGGGGCAGAGCCAGACATGCACACACCTATGCTTAAACCCACCCCCTACGACTCCTCCACCAATGAGCTTGCAGCTTCGCACGGCGAGCTCCATAGCCGAGGATCTAACCACTACAAACACTCAGTAGAGAGATTTCCCCTCAAATCGGTTTGTTCAAACAATCCTTCCGAGGGTTATGATTCCCCAGTGGGGCGTGGGGAGTACCGGCGGAGCTATACATCCATCGTGACTTCATCCATCCATCCCCTCCACATGTCCATCTCGTCCTCGTCCCCCCAACCATTGCATCACACCACCTCTGCAGGACGACTCTCTTCGGAGAGTAAATCAGGCTTGCGCGATAACCGCATAATCTCTCCTGTTTCAGCCACATCCACAAGTCCTGCCGGATCCCCAGAGCGGGAGCAAGGAATCGAGCGGCGGCCAGCCGACTACATGCTGTCCCGCTCCGTAGACCATCTGGAGCGTCCCGCCCGGCTTCCCCGACCTGGAGCCCTGCTCTGCTGCACCTCCGAATTGCAAGTCAACCAAGGGGAAGAGACCTACCGCAAGGCTCGTCCCACCCTCGTCATCCCTGCCCACTACATGCGACTTCCAGGGACACACCCTCTGTCGGGCCAAGCGCTTCTTTTGCAGTCGGATGTACAGAGCGAATTGGAAAGCATTCAGGCGGAACTCAGTGCGTGCCATCAGCCCCAAGGCCAAGTCCTGCAACCATGGTGCAAAGGAGAGCAGGAAGTGGGGACGCAAGGGACGGGGGACAACCGAGGTGGAGGAGTTGAGGAGTGGACGTTGCAGACGGCCACTCTTCCCGCTGATCTCTCCATCCCCAACTCACTCAGTCAAACAGGCCTGGATGTGGTGCAGATGAACGGAGAAGATCAGCTTCTGGCCGAAAAGACTTTGATGGAGCTCAGGGGGGGGAAGCCGCTCCCCCATCCCAGAGCTTGGTTCGTGTCACTGGACGGCCGCTCCAATGCCCACATCCGCCATTCGTACATCGACTTGCAGAGGGCAGGATGCAACAGCAGTTGTGTCGGAAGCAACGATGCCAGTCTGGACTCTGGGGTTGATATGAGTGACATCACACCGGGTCGGCGTTTTCGTGAAAAGGTCAGGGGTAAAACTGAAGTTGGGGCTCAGCCTGCAGTGTCTGTGGTCGGATATACACCGCTAGTGTTTGTAAAGGACTCAAATGCTAATGCGGAGAACAGTGGTAGCCCAACACCAGTCTGCAGCCCTGAAGAACACTCTCTAGGGGAAACAGAGAGGGAAGAGGAAGACGAAGGGACTTTGTCTCCCCCGTTGCCTCCACCTGAGCTATCTTCACCACCTCCTCTCTCTGAGCCTGTGGTTGAAATGGCGGAGGAGACGGGGACAGATAGTGATGTTTTCAGGACTGAGGAGACTCAAATGCACATGAGCAGCAGCCGGCCAGATAACCTGGTCGTCCCTGATGATGGTGGTGAAGACGAGAACAAGAAGAGTCCGTGGCAGAAACGAGAGGAGCGACCACTACTGGCCTTTAACCTAAAATGACATGCCTTTTAAAAGGATATTCATCAAAAAAAATGAAAATTCTGTCGTCGTTTACTCATGTCGTTCCATGCCTGTATGACTTTCTTCTGTGGGACACAATTAAAAATGTATTTTTGTCCATACAGTCAAAAACCAGATTTAGACTCCATTGACTTTCATTGTATGGACAGAACAATTGAAGCATTGTTCAAAATATTGTACTTTCTCTTGGAGAACATAAAAGACATTATAAAGGGTTGGAATGCCATAAGGGTGAGTAAATGCTGACAGAAGTCTCATTTTTAGGTGAACTGTCCCTTTAAGTGCTTCCATCATGGTCTCTAGCTGGACTGTTGAATGGAGTTGCCTTATGAGCGCAGGTCTGTGCGTGGCTGTTTGCCTGTGGCAATGAAAGCCATAGCACAAATGAATATCAGAGCAGCTCTGCCTCACATCTGTACGAGGAAGAACAAACTGAAGCTTTCAAGAAAAAAAAACACCTTAAAATACCAATCTAATGCACATCTGCTATGGCTTTCCAGACATACACTTTGAGCAAAAAATATTGCAATCCATTGTATTGAAGGTGAAAAGTTGTTTAAGCTTTATGAGATGCTGCTGTTCTTGAGCAATATGACATCTAGTGGCAACACATGTACACTGCAACTACACCTCTTAAGTGTTTCCCAGCACTTATTTTTGAACATTTTATGGGATGACTGGAGGAATGTCTTCCTCATCCTGATGGGTTAAAAAACACATAAAACCACTATAATGGGATCAACAGTCTAAATCTCACCCATTTTCAGTTTTATTGGTATAATGAATTCATGAGTAGAATACAGCTGAAGCTTTGTGAATCAAATAAGTTTACATAATGCATCATTTGTTCTTTTTAATAATTTTGGCTGTGTTGTGCACAGATTTTCAAATGTGTATTTCTTCAACCTTAGGATTACAGTAAGACTTGCCAACATTGCTGGTCAGCTTCAAAGCAGCAGACCCACCTGTTAAAGAAAAAAAAACTATGCATTGCTTTAAACTGAAGGATCATGTAGCTTTATATGCCTTATTTTTTTATTTTAACCACTGCATTTTAATTTAGTTGTATTATTATTATTTTGGTTTGAACTTGCCTTAGTGTGTGAGTGAATTGAACCGCACATTCAGACGAGGGCTGGATGCAACCGCACTCACTCACGTAAACAGCCACCAGCTTTGCTTTCCCAAACTGTCGGGGTTATTTTATTTTTTTTTGTCTTAAGTGCCTTTCTAATGCTAATTTATATCCATCATTAGATTTATTTTTCCTCTCCACTATCATTTTGTGTCATATTATTTGATGTTTTTCACAATATATTGACTCATGTGGCATTACACCCTCCTTTGATCTCATTGTATGTGTGTGTTTTAATTGTTGTATCTGGATATACAGTGGGCTCCAAACATCTGAAACCACACTGACAATCTGGGATTAGAATCTATTTTAACCCTATAAGATTTTGATGCTTGAAACAATAGTTTATGAAACATTTGTTTATGCAACTCAAGTGCTGATGTCTTTGAAGCAAAAAGAGGACATAGCATTTTTTTCATTACCGAAAGTATTTGTCATAGAAAAATTGCATTGATTTTTATTTGTTTTATTTAATTTTTAAAATGTTTTAAATATGTTTTTCAATCATGGTAGTCTCAGACTTTTGAAACCCCCTGTGTATTCAGTGCTTCTTATGATTCTGGTCTATTCTTTTGCCTTGTTTGTTTGTATGTATGTATGTACATATTCATTCACCCAGTTGTTTATGCTCGTGTGAGTGTGTGTTGCTTGGTGTAGCTGTGTGTCTGCTGTAGACATACTATGCAGTGTGTGTATGTACTGATGTAGGACTGAAAGCGATGTATCATTATTTGAAAGCTGTTGAAAGTCTGACTTGCTGCCAGGGTAACCACTTTGTAAGAAACCTTGTGTCATTCGGCTCTTCAGCAATCTACTTTGAATGTCTGGACTGGTTGCTTGTATTATAATTCAGGCCTATTATCCAATAAAGCCAAAAAAACCTGATCAGTGCTAGTTGAACATTATTTTTCAACATATCCAATGCAAATCATAAACTTCAGGGTCACTTTATGATAAATAAGACCGGAGTCGGCTAACATAATAGCTCGTTAATTGCTTGATGGATATATAGTGGTATATATAAACATTTGAAAATAGCCTAAATAAGTGTCGATATTTACTTTATACAGCGTTGGAATCAAAGTAGTTAGCTGTAGTTAGCTCGTCACTGATGTTCAAGGATTTATTTGAACTCAGCAGTCAGACAAGTCCTCGAGGCTCTTCTCTACTATATTTCTGAACGTATTTATAAGTCTGCTTGGTTTTGCAGTTGTTCATATTTACATGATGGGAGTGGAAAGCGTCCTCCTGGTTTCATTAGTTTGTCTTCATCATCTCTGAACAATACAAACACGCTTGATCCTCTTCATGAGCTGAGCGAGCAGCATTGCAGTCGAGCATCTTTGTCAGCTCGAGGACAGAGGAGGATGATGATTGTCTGTTGTTGTCAGGCAGACTTGCATCCCTCAGGAAGCCGAGTTTGACCTGCTTCCATGAAGAGATTGACACTTGTTTTAATAGTATTTCCTCTGGCAGTCACCCTCCAGGCTATTATAGCAGTAATCCACTGACACTTTCACCTGTCATGCTTGTCTTTGAACCCCATAAACAGGTCTGTGCTTTGTCAGTAAGGTATATCTGGTATTTGAACGGTGTTTCGGTTTTGTTAAGGAGTCCTGGGGGTGATCTTGGTGCAAAGAAAAAAAAGAAGAAACAAAAGAGAAAGAAGGAGAAGCCAAGCTCAGGAGGAGCCAAGTCTGACTCTGCCTCTGATTCTCAGGAGATAAAGGTTTCTGCTTTGTGTAGTGTTATAAAAACAGGTTTTGTTAAAAAGAGAAAGAGGCTGATTTCCCTCTGTTCCTGTCCCAGAACCCTGCCATTCCAATGCAGAAATTGCAGGACATTCAGAGAGCTATGGAGCTCCTGTCCACCTGTCAAGGTCCAGCCAAAAACATAGATGAGGCCACAAAGCACAAGTACCAGTTCTGGGACACTCAACCCGTGCCCAAACTCAGTAAGTCATACGTCACCTCTGCATGTGTTCGATTGCAACATTACAAATGTAAGCAACTTGACACATCCTTGGCAAATCAGTAAGAATCTTACAATGATCCTTAAACAATGTTGTATTCAACAAGCCAGTCAACTTATGGTTTAATCAGAAAACACAATCTCAGCATCATGAATGAAGACGTCTAGTTACACAACCGTTCAAAAGTTTGGGGTTCGTAAGATTTTTTTAAATGTGTTTGAAACAAGTATTTTAAGCGCACCAAAGCAGCATTTATTTGATTAAAAATACAGTAGAAACAGTAATGATATGAAATGTGATTACAGTTTAAAATAACTCTTTTCTGTCTGAATATGTTTAGAATGTAATTTATTCCTGCAACTGATGTTTTCAATGCGCTGGATCTAATGGACAATAAGGCTTTCTTGGAAAAGCTCAAGTTTGGGATTGGTGATGGTAACCTGCAGTATTATCTGTTCAACTGGAAATGCCCTCCTATGGACCCAGAGAAAGTAAGATTCTTTTTTTTGTTTGTTTAATTTAATTGTTTTAATATTTTATATCCCAGCTTTGATGCTACTTAACCTCTTCCCACAAAAACAAAACTATGTATGTATATGTTTTTTGGTTGTCACAATTGTTTACTTTATTAAATAATTTTATTCATCTTTTATCATGTCTTCATGTATTGTAATTCATATTCCCTCTTTTTTGGTGGGGATGTTTTGGGACATCAGAAAGGTTTTGATGTTTTCAATGCGCTGGATCTAATGGACAATAAGGCTTTCTTGGAAAAGCTCAAGTTTGGGATTGGTGATGGTAACCTGCAGTATTATCTGTTCAACTGGAAATGCCCTCCTATGGACCCAGAGAAAGTAAGATTCTTTTTTTTTGTTTGTTTAATTTAATTGTTTTAATATTTTATATCCCAGCTTTGATGCTACTTAACCTCTTCCCACAAAAACAAAACTATGTATGTATATGTTTTTTGGTTGTCACAATTGTTTACTTTATTAAATAATTTTATTCATCTTTTTTTTTTTATAAAGCAGAAATGGACTTGTTAAAGGGGTCATTTGATGTTGCTAAAAATAACATTATTTGGTGTAATGAAATGTTTATGCGGTTTAAGGTTCAAAATAACACAATATTTTCCACATACTGTACATTATTGTTTCTCCTCTATGCCCCGCGTTTCTGAAACACGTCGATTTTTACAAAGCTCATCGGTCTGAAAAGAGAGGTGTGCGATTGGCCAGCTATCCAGTGCGTTGTGATTGGCCGAATTCCTCAAACGTGTGACGGAAATGTTACGCCCCTTACCATATTGTGATGCCCTGTCCAGCCAGAGCGACGAGACAAAAACATTAAAAGCCATTATATGTAGGCATTTGTTGCATCCAGTGGGGACATAATTACGGATTATAATGATGTATACTGTCTTTTTACACATTGCGTTGCATCACGCCGCACATACATGTAGTGTTGTTTATTTTCTTTAACATGCACTCTGTATCCTCTCATAGAACATGTTTAATCCCATTGTTTTTGTCATTTTGTTTGTTTATGTATTATGAAGGAGTGTTGATACATTTGTGTGAATTAGCAAGCTGTACATTTAATGCCAGATATTTATTACGTGTTGTGACGTTTACAACGGAACATGAACGGGTGGGGGTCGAAATCCAGTCTTTTCTATGGAGCTGCCTTTAAAGTCATATACCGTTTGGAGTTCCTGCTGTCTGTGTGAGGGAGGGAGGGGGAGCGTAAATGGTTAAATGTGTGGAAGAATGTATTGCATTTTGAAGCACAACATCAACTTGTTTATAAAAGGGCCAGATTGCTCTGAAGTGCATTTTTAAGAATAATGTTTATTTAGGTTTTGTGTGTCCAAAAGAAACATTTTGAATGTAAATTGATTTACTTTTTTGTTTCATGAAGACATGATTGTCACACCTTAAGTAGTTTCTTTTCCCCACCCGTTTGTTCTTTACCATTTAGTGTTTTTAAATTATAATTTTAGTAAAGCAATTCTGATATTTAGAATTGTATTTAAGTTACGCTTCATTTTATTATTGATTTTCTTTATTCTGTCAGTATTCTTTGCAGTCAAACCATAACCTCATTCAAGTGGTGCATTTGCGATCAGGCCCTGGTAATTTTGCTATACTTAAGCACAAGGAGAGTTAAACAATCGTGTGCATTGTCATTTTGATAAACATTTCTCCTAATGCTTTTGGTGATGCGGTCAGGAAAGCTTGCTCGCTGTTCAGTTACAATCACTGGTGAGGCATAATGAAATGTGAACAATGTTATTATATAGCATAAGCTGATTTTGTGTTAATACAGCTTATCTTGTCATGGTTTGCTTTAATGTATCTGAATCTACAATATTTTAAAAGCATAAGCGCACGCCCAGACATGCTTAATAAGAAAGGTACTCCACTCAAAGTTTCACATTTCAACCGGTGGTTTCATTCAATAACGTCCAGGGCACTTTTGCGAATGTCAGTTTGTGTATGTTTTTTCTAAGGCTTGCTGTATGAAATGAGCATGAAACTTTTTTCCAATCTGTATGGTTTAAGAACTTGTGGGTTATGGTTAGAACACCCGAGGTACTTGCCTTATTTCGGAGAGGTTGTTTTTTTAAATGTCAAATTGTGTAGTTTTAAATGATCAGCTTTCTCTTTCTCAAGACAGTATTTTTATTGAACTCCATTGCAGGTTGGAACTGATGGGAATAAGTACCAGCACCATGTCAAACATGATAGTTCACCTAAATATCTAATTGACAAAAAATATACATCAAGGTATACCAGCATGGATATTTGACTGAATAAAAGCATCCAAAATACAAAATTCATCTCGGTTTTTCCCTATTTATATCCATCACATTAACCTATGAAAATATGAATATACTAAACAATCCACATCTGTCCAAACACACTATATAGTAACCTGCGGTCATAGAGCACAGGTTAAACACTTGATAAGCACTTTTGCTTTCCTTTCTTTTTCGGTTTTCTGATTTTCGTAGGATTCGGGATGATTTTCTTTACTTTCAGAGGCTGGAGGATTAAAGGCGACGCGTCAGTGGCTTCATCCGACATTTCTTCTAATTTCCTCTTCTGCCCCTTTAACGCGTCGGCCAGCTTTTCCTCGGCTTTCGCTGTTGAATCCGTCGGAATCCAAGCCACTTTGAGCGGCGGAACCACAGGTGTGATCGCGCGGACCACATCCTCGAACACCTCGGCGCCGCGTTTGAATCCCAGCGCCAGGACGCACTTGAGACCCAGCAGCCCCGCGAGACTCTCGCTCAGACTGGGCACCTGGCAGGCGGGCACCGACCTCGTTTTACTCAGCGGGATTAAATGGCACGTCATGTGTGCTGGCCTTACCGAATTACACACGAGCACCAAACTCAGTTCATTCCTCTCCAGGCCTTTGGTGACCTCGTTGATGCCGATGGCCAGTTGTTTCCTCGCGGTCGGGATGGTCCAGCCCGGCTCGGTGGGCTTAGAGGGGGTCTGTACACTCTCTGCGGGTTCAGGAGCTGGTTTTTGGTCCTCAGTGGGTTTTGATGCCTGTTTTCTTGACCTCCTTCTGCTGCCCCACTCGCGAAACCTATTGACACGTTGTTTCTGAAGCCCGACAGCAGATAGTTTGACTTTAAGTGTGTTCAGTATGAAATGCTTGTGTTCTCTTTCCAGTGGACTCCAGTGAATGCTGTATGGGCTATTCAGTGAAGTTTTTACTGGTATGGGCTTCTTTTTTTCTTTCTTCGTTGCTCCTTTCGCTGGGGTAGACATTCTTTCTGGAAACCTGCTTTTAAGCAAAATTCAGCATTAATAATTACAATGAGGCATGCAACATCACATTAAAACTCTTTTATATAGTTGTAGTTGAACCAAGACGTATAATTATCAGCAGTTATACAAACCTAATAAAATAGCCTGATATCAGCCGTTAAAGGTTTAATTTCCAGAGCGTGTGCTCTTTCCTCCGTGCGCAGACATGTTGTTGTTGAAGGTCTTCTTCTGTGGTCACACCATAAATCGTTCAAGGTTCCTAAAACACACAGTGCCATCTAGTGACGGACTGTCCGCAGAGCTGTTGGCTGGATATCATTTTAGTCATGTACTATCATTTACAAATATAGCTCATAAATATTTTATAAGAAACAAAATATAGAATTTATATTATTATCATTATTAATTATATAAATATAACTATTTTTTACTTGAATTTGATTCAATTAAAAGTTCACTGGCTTTTAAAAGGATTTATATAATTTACCATTCTAAACAGTTGTATGTATTTTTAAATAGAGAGAGAGAGAGCGAGAGAGAGAGAGAGAGAGAGAGAAAATAGTTACGTAACCTGTGCTTTTTGTGTCCTGACAACCAATCTATATAAATGACTAGGCCTATATAAATATAAATACATAAATATAAATTCTCTATTATAGATCAGTGGTCCTGACACTGCTGTTTATTTTGGTACTGTAAGACTTCTTTAGCAAACTATGTGATTTTATTTTCCAGCATTATTGTTTTGTTTTTCCTAATATTGATGAGCACTTTGTTTTATTATTGTATTATTCATTGTTTGGTCTACTGGAAAATGATATTAAAAAATACAATAAAGACAAAAAAAAATAAAGAATATATGAGCTACCTTAATAAATACATTTTATATCAAATTTTGGTTTAAAAAAAAAACAGCTTTGTTTGATTTGTTTTTATGTTTATATTATATAAACATAAAATATTGAATCCGCCTCCGTCTGTTAGTTATAGTGCCTGCTCACTTTTGCCCTGGCCCACCCAAAAATAAAATTCTGCCTATGCCACTGGATCAGACTATGTGACGCTTTTTTTCTTTTTCTTTTTTCTTGCTGGAAGTGTAGAGCTTGATTATATTATTATAGGATCACAGAAAAAAACTAAGTCATGATGTCTATGGCTGTAGGCTGAATTTGAGCAGTATGCAGAGGATGTAAAGAAAGTGAAGACCAGACCTACAGACGAAGAGCTGCTGGATTTGTATGGTCTCTACAATCTCCTTAGTTTTAAGTAGATATTAA